GCCCGGGGGGGGGGGATTATAGGGGCAATTGACCCTCTAGATTTTGGGGGGGGAATTTGTTTAGCTTTTTTTTATTAGAAGATAACCTATAAATTTTATTTTTGACCCCCTAATTCAAGTCGTTTGGGTCCACCCCTGAAGGAGGCTATATTGATTCTTGACCGTATAGAAAATTGAAGAAAATAAGTCATCATATGGAAGATATAGTGAAAATGGTTGTTAAAAAATTGAAATGTTATGAATCAAGAAAAGGGTGATCTCTAAAGGCTCACTATGAGGGTGGGCGATGTGAATGAAGTTTTTTCTCAGTGGGGACTCAACTTTCAAATTGTGTCATTTTAGTCCATGAGTAAATTTTTTTACATAGATGGTCATGGAATCTGTTAAGTTGTTATAGTTAAGTCACTCTTGACATATTCATATCTCATGGTGCTCTTTGTGAGGGAAATGGTCTTGCTGAGGTGGCAAAAATACAAGTACAACAAATGGGAAAGAATCGTGGTGACATCTAGCTTATTAATGTTTTTTGATCATCGGGCGTTAAATTTATTGATAGATATGTGAACACGTGAAGAGTGAATTAACGAAAATAAATTTGAAAGTTTTACATTGAGATTTTAAAAGGTTTGATATCTTACAAACTTCATTGTTTCTACTTATTCTCATCTCATTTGTCTGCATGTACATGATAACATTTTCAATTTATACACAAAAATGATAGTCCTGAAATGGCAACATAAGTCAACTCCACAAAACGAGATGATATATTAAGAACCAACATAAGGGAAATTTACAAAAATGGTCACATTGTCTCAAAGAAACGAATAATTGAATTTTGACGAAAAAAAAAAAAAAAAAAGGCCAAAACGATTTTCAAACCCAAAATCAATCAATTTCGTCACAATTCATCAAAGCTCAACATTTACGACTTCCAATATCATCTAGTTAATCACAGAAAAAAGCTATAATTAGTGTAGATAAATGTATATTTCATCAAATATCATTGAACACAATCATGAAAGCAATTGTTCGAGCTCATGTATGTCTGTGATCTACATATATGCTCACTAGAAAATTTCCATATTAGCAATTCTTAGAACATTTCACTGGGAAGTAACTTTTCATATCAAAATTCAATATTAATTCCAGTTGGGCTAACAAAAAACTCAATCCCCTAGGTAAATACAAAGTCGATATTCGTACATACAAGAATGAGGGGATAGACAGACCTGCCTTATAAATAAGGGATTGGGTTATATTACACACATGTCAGGCAAAACAACCAGATCTGTCTCTTCACTTTCTTCATAGATAATTGGTGGTCCAACATTCATTTTTCAATTTCAACATTTATAAAACTTCAATTCAGTATTCATTAGGCCATTGATTGAAAGGTGATTAAAGTCATAACTTGACGGGAGTTGGCTATAAAAAGGGGTTTGGTCCCTAAGCTCAAACACAATCGAAATTTTAAGATACACCATCAATTTGAAGTGTTGAGGGCTTAGAAGTGCCACTATCAGATCAAAGGGAGAGATTTGGAACTACATCAATGGTCGAAGGTATGAAACTCGATTTATGGGCATTCAGTTTCTCGATCTATTTTTCGACTTATGTTGTTTTAGATCAATTTTTGTTTAACATTTGGTGTCAGAGCCCCATATTGCTTCTGTCTTGATGTTTCACCATCAATCTGGAAAATCGATCTTCTCTGGCCGATTTCTTTTTCTGAAAATAAATGGAGATTTCTCCATAAAATCAATTTCCTAGGCTCTTGAATGTTTTAGAACATGAGTTTTGATATTGAGAGGGTTGAATTTGAGCGGGTTATTTTCAACGCTTTGAGGTTGGAGATGACAGGAGAATGTGATCGTGTTTGCAGTAGGTGATATTTATTGGGCCATCATGTTTTGTGATTGTTTAAGGTTTTTACATTTACTGGGCCATCTTATTATTGACATAAAAAAGTGTTTATAGGGCCATTTTGGAAGTACATTTTAAATTGGGCCAGAATGCTCACTTTTGCTGGGGCCGATTTTCAGAAGATTATTTCTTGAGCACATGCATATATATTTGGTTTAACTGCGTATAATTTAAGTCTTGGGTAGATTTTTGAATTAACTTACTTAGTTATTTTTTTCCCTTAAAGGTTTAATTCTTGGGAATATTAATTATTTATGTTTAGAATAATATATGCAATTTTATGTTGAATTAAATTATGCTCATATTTAGTTTACATGAGTTAATTAATACATGCAATTTTTGGATGAGTTGAATTTTATGCAATTTATAATGTTTACAAGAATATTTTGTGCAAAATCATAACATGTTAGTTAATATTATGCTATAAGAATTACTTTCATATTGAGTGCATAAAATAGTTAATGTCTAGTGATCTATGTAGTTTTATTTAATTAAGGATTAGTCACAGCATCTTTAATTAAGTAGAATTATATATTAAAATCGAGATCGCATAAGGATTAAAGACACTAGATTGTAATTAATTATGCTTTATATAAAGAATTTCATCCCACGGGAATTTTTCTCATTATATTCAATTTTAACATGATTTACATTGGTAAAACATGCAATCTATTGAATTAAGTCTCAAGTTAACATAAGCGCTCTTAATATTATGCAGCTTCACAACCCTTCAATTTCTCTGATATTCATTGTGGTATTCTTGAATTAAAATGTGAAAACTATAAAATATGGAAGGAGATAATTCTTCTCCATTTAGGGTGGATGGATATTGATTATGTTATTAAGAAAGACGAACCACCTAAAATCACTGATACCAGCACTGCAGCAGATATCATGCTCTATGAAAAGTGGGAGCGATCTATTTGTCTCAGCGTGATGTTCATAAAAACTAAAATTTCAATTGGTATATGTGGTTTCGTCGATAAGCATGACAAGGTCCAGAACTTGATAAGGGCCATTGACGATCAATTCGTCACTTCAAATAAGGCATTGGCAAGCACCATTATAATGAAGTTTTCATCCTTAAAGCTCACCAGTGTAAAAGGTGTGCATGAGCACATCATGTAGATGAGAGACATTACGGCTCAACTTAAGAAGCTCGAGGTTGAGATGTGTGAATCTTTCATTGTACATTACATCTTGAATAGTCTCTTACAAGAGTACGAACGTTTCAAAATCTCATACAACACACATAAAGATAAATGATCAATTATTGAATTAATGACTTTGTATGTTCAAGAAGAATGGAGACTAACAATGGAACAAGGTGAAAGTACAATGTTGATTACAACCCGTGGGAAAGGGAAGACTCAAGCCAATCAAAAAGGGAAAGGTAAAATCCCACCCAAGAAAGAGGCCAAGTGTTACTTCTATAAAAAGAAGGGATATATGAAGAACGATTGTGTCAAATTCGAGAAATGGCTTGAGGATAAAGGTGATTCAAGCTTATTTGTTTATTATAAATCTAATATGGTTAATGTAAATGTTAACACCTGGTGGATTGACTCTGGATCTACAATTCATGTTGCAAATTATTTGTAAGGTATGCAAAACCTAAGGAATTGAAATTAGATAGGACCTTTTATATTTTAAGTTTTTCACAAAACTTGATTTCTATTTCCAAACTTGCACCATTGGGATATTCCTTTAATTTTTCAAAATAAGTCATTCAGTTTATTATATAATTATAATTGTGTTGGGAATGGTATATTGTCTGATGTCTTTATCGTATTAATTTACAAAATAATATCACTTATAGTTTAATGCATGTTCACACTACCACTAAACGGTGTAATTTTAATGAAGACTTCTCTATGTTGTGGCATCAAAGATTATGACATATCTCTATAGAAATCACACATACTGATATATATAGTCCAGACATGGACTCATGTGATCAGAAATACTTCATCACATTTATTAATGATTACTCGTGATATATGTATCTCTACTTACTTCATAATAAGAAGGAAGCATTGGATGCTTTAAAAACCTTTAAGGCTGAAGTAGAGAAATAATACGAGAAGCAAATTAAGATCGTAAGATCAGATGGAGGTGGAGAATATTACGGTAAATACACAAATGATGGACAAGCACCTAGTCCATTCTCTAAATTTTTTCAAGAGAATGGGATAGTTTCCCAATACACTATGCTTGGTTCACCGGAATAGAATGGTGTAGCTGAAAGAAGAAATTAAACATTATTGGACATGGTGCAGATCATGCTTAGTAGCTTCAATCTTTCTAAATCCTTGTGGACTGAAGCACTTAATCCTTAGAAATTTATGCGAGGATTGGTCATTGTATATTAAACAGAGTTCCTACTAAGGTTATCCTAAAGACGCCATTTGAATTATTGAAAGACTGGAAACTAAGTTTGAGACATATGCGCATTTTGGGATGTTAGTATGAAGTGAGGATCTATAATCCACAAGAGAAAAAACTGGATCCAAAAACTATTAGTAGATATTTCATTGGATATGTCAAAAAGGTCTAAATGATACATATTTTATTGTCCATCTCACAATAATAGGATTGTGGAAGCAAGAAACTCTAAGTTTCTTGAGAATGTCTTGATCAGTGGGAGCGATCAAACCAGGACCAAAGTTCATAAGCATGATCATTTGGAATCTCAACCTTCCACCTCAGGTGACGGATTAGTCATAGTTCACAACGCCCTCAGCACCCCTCAAGTACAAACATGTGTTGAACAACCAAATATTGAAATTCCACAAACTGCTGACAATGTTTAAGTAGATTAGGTAATTCGAGAATTA